TCCGGAGCATCACCTACAAGGAGAGCACAAAATTTCCTAGAGGGTCCAATAGGATTTCGTGCAAGCATGGCTTGTTTCCCCCAAAAAACTTTCTATTTGCATTCAATCTTGCACTAAGCGCACGCGCGCGTGCAAAACAGCAGTTTAAGGTCTCTGGAGGGATTTATTCTGAAAATCTGAAATATTACCTGTTGTGCCATCCACTTTTGCAAGGCTGTGGAAAAAGAGAGAGAGAGAGAGAGGGAGGGAGGTAGCGACCGAGCGAGAGAGGCATGTCTCAAAGCCAGCAAAGGACTAAGATGCCACACTTCGGAAAGGCTGATTGAAAACAGACTCTTCTTAAGTTTTAGAGGATTTTCTCTCTCGCTCCCTCCAAGGGCTAAGAAGCCGATTTAGGAATTTGAAGGGAATAGGTTTCAGCATCCATATTTGTTCTGGTGCACTTGTAAAATGCGATTTGAAGAGGATCTTTAGCCCTCTGATTGTCTTTGTATTGTTTTTCTTGAAACGGATCTTTTGCCCTTAATGAATCCCCACACAGCTGGACAGCTCCTGCTCGGACACTGAGAGCGCTAACCCCAAACTGACCCCAATTTGACACCACAAGATGAAATTTTACCGCCTGTTAAAACCATTTCCAGCCTCGGCAAAAGGAGCTGGCGGTTGACTGAGATGCACTTCCATACCGGACATCTCATTTCTCTTTGGACTTTTGAGCCGATCTATTAAAAAAAACAAAACAAAAAAAAACCAAAACCCCAAACACAGACAGACACACACATCCCGACTCCTCTCTCACACTTTTCCTGAAAACAGCCTTCTCTGTGAAAGTGATGCAAGAGAAATGGAAATTAGTCCATTTTAATTTTCCCGAATTGCTGTTTTTCAAAAGAAATATGTCACCAGTCTGGGGGGGAAGTAAATAAAAAATTGCCTAAGTATGTGAAAGCCCCCACCCCCTACACGCACGATTCCCAACAGCATCTTTGTTAATAGCTGAGTACTTTCACTTAAGGGCGCTAAATTGAGATTCCTTTTTAATGGCTAAACTGTAACGCTTTATAAACCACGTTCTCTGTGTGCTTTAATCCACTGGGATAGCGAAGAGGGAAAAGGCTTCAACTCTTTTCACATGGAAAAAAAATACACAGGAGGAACATGAAAGTCCTTCATTTACTATATGAAATTTCACTTTCTATCAAGTCAAAATAAATTTTTTAAGTTGGTCTCTGTACCAGATTACACACATGCACAGCAGGATGAGACAACGCAGGGGGTTAATTAGTTTAGTAAGGGAAAAAAAGAAAAAGAAACAAAAATTAAACAAGTGAAAGGAGCAGCACTGAACATTGCAAAAATCTTTGGCTGCTTTTTTTCAGCTTTGATATTAGTCTATTTTCTAACAACTCCTTAGTCAAGAGAACCGAGATCTATAGGGACTTCTGTGAAAAACAGAATTGTCAAAAAAAAAAAAAGTGTCTAAAATTATATTCTAAGCAATGAAGTGATTTCTTCTATGGGAGCCAAGTCATCTAAAAACTTCTTTTTGAGAAGAAAATTGATGAACTTTTACAGCTTGAAGTCTGAACAAATACATGGAGCCTTCAGTGGAGCTAGATTACTTTTGCACAGCCAGGTTACAAGGAAAGACCCCTCTTTGGTGATATAAAAACTATTTTAAAAGAGAGATACTTGAATACCTCAAAGGGCAAGGCTCCAGGTTTGCACTGTCTCGGTTAAAAAACAAGTTTGGAAGCTGCAAATATTTGAACCATGTCCTCTAAGCTGGCTGAATCACAAGCAAATGATTCCAGGCAAGTTGAAAAATCTGGCATCTCTGGGGCGCGGGGGGGTGCGGAGGGGGAAAGGGAGGGGGAATGAAGAAAGAAGGAAAAAAAATCCAAATAACATTCACCGATTACTAGATCTCTTTAAAAAAAAAAATCTGTTAGAAAACCACCGCTGTAAAAGTAGGAAAGGATTTGCATAACCTACTGCTCTGTAGGTCTCCGCACACCCAAAGGATTAGCCAAGCATTCATTACCATGAATATCTTGAATTACGTTACCGATTTATACGACAGAGTATAAAATACTGCACAAGAAGACTGACTTTTTCCCTACGAAATGAATCGACTTAACCACTGCTTGAAAGAGATCCACATACTAAGGGCTCTTCTACTCACCTCTCTTTACAGTCCCGTGAAAGTCAGTCACAGCAATTCGGTTGCTCTTAGGACTAGCTTTAATCTTGGAGATCCTCTAGGAGAAAAAAACCGGATCTGTTCTCCGGCTTCTGGCGGGTTTTAAGCAGGGTGCAACTCTAGTTAAAAGTAGGAGAGGGACTTTTCTCCATATTCCCCTCATATTTGTAAATACAGCCCTGCTCTGCAAGGCTCGGCGCTAGCGGAACACGTAGGAATGCCCACTGGCATTTGTCAGCCCTCCACACTATCTTTCTTTATATGTGAGGGCTGATTTCCCGCAGACATCATTGTTATGATGGCTCATTTAATCAAACTGTTTAATTGCTCCGGTAATCACTATCATCATCACAGGTACTCAATCATTCATCATTTTGGAGGGGTTTATTGACCTCTGGAGCTCATTCCCTTCGCCTATTAAAATCAGGCCAAATATCTATAACCATCCCTTCAGTCATTTTCCTAAAGTTAAAAAAAAAAAATCCACACAAAAACAAAAACCAAAAAAACCCCCAACCAACCAACAACAACAAACAAAAACCAATGAAAACCATCGTCATCACCACGAAAAGCAAAGCAAATAACAATCTAACTGAATATCTTTTTTTCTGCCGTGTATTTTCAAAAGCCTTCTATGTATGAGGCCACATTCACAACCGGGTACATAATCATTGATAAATCCCACTATTAACGGGATAGTCTGTTTTAGATTTTATGTGCAGGGGACCGTGAACGAGGGTGGGGGGTTGGGGAGGACAAAACTGCAGCAATCGATAGTTTGACCATCGCTCCTCCCCTAAACTTCAAGCACCCCCCATGATTGATGATCCCGGGTAGCTTTGGTAATTGACTGCTCTGAGGTAAGGCATGGTATAGCTCCAGCGAAGTGATTGGGCGACAGAAACGCACCAAAATTAACTCGTGTGTGTGTGTGCGCCTGTGTGTTTGGAAAAGTTCATTTGGTGCTCAAGGGTGGGGGGTGCATCATCTCACTTAATTTGCTAAATAACCCCATTGTAATTAGCACTACCATTAGAAGGCATTACCGAGCTAATACTCCAGCATACATTCCACAAGCGCAACGTCGAAAAACGTTAAAGTCCAGCAACACACACGTAAATACAGCGCTCACCGCCAGATCCGCTCAAAACGAACATGCAAACAGAAATCTACGTAACATCTGGATCTCTCCTACAAAAGGCTGAGCATGACTTTGTTTTTAAGCCCTTTACAAAGCCTGGCAGCCTAATCGCAAAACTAAAAGGGATTTCTCCCTCTTCCCCCCGCCCCTTCCCCCCCCCCCCCCCCCCCCCCTTAAGACATCCACAGCGTGCTTGATAGCAGAGATCAGTTAATGAAGAGCGGTGCCCAGCACGGTTTGAATGAGGCGTTCTCTCCATGCCCTGGAAAATTGATTTTTAGAGGAGCACCATGCGCTGTCGGAGGAGAGCAGCCCCGTTCTGGGCACGGCGCTCCGGCGGGCGCAAGGGCGCGCGGCGGGAGCAGGATCGGGCCCGCCGCGGGAGCGCCAACTTTGCGCGGCCCCCCCGCGCGCTGTAGCTCGCGGAGCCCCGAGCTCGCGCGCCGCGCGCGGCAGCGGCGAGAGCCCGCGAGCGGACCGAGCGGCCCCGCGCGCGCGCCGGGCGCCCCACACGGCGGGCACGTCGGAAGGTATTCGTTCTGCCGCTCAGATAACCCAGCGCGGACCGACCGGGGCTGGGCTGCTGCCGCACTTTTCTTCTCGCTCTCTGCAGTTTCCCCTGCCTCTCCCCCCTCTCGCACACACGCACTCTCCCCGTCCTTCCTCCCCTGCCTCCCTCCCTCGCTCCCTCCCTCGCTCCCTCCCTCCCTCCTCCCTCCCTCGCTCCCTCCCTCCCTCCCCTCTCGCTCGCACGCTCGCTCGCTCCTTCCTACACGCCGTGCTTCGCTCGGGGCAGGGGCTGCTGCGCGGCTCCCCCCGCGCGGCGCCGCGGCCGCCCCGCCGCCGCGCTGCGCATCCCCGGCGCTCCGCCGGCTGGGGCGCCCCGCCGCCCCGCACCCGCGCCCGCCGCCGCGCCCCGCCGCTCCCGCCGCCGCCGCTCCCCGCCGCCGCCGCCGCCGCCGCCGCGCTGCAGGACTGGCTATGGCCACCACTACTTCCGGGTTCCGTCACTTCATTCTCCCGCCGATCAGCGCCGCAAAACTGAGCCTCTTCTATAAGGCAGCCGGCAGCCAACCTGCCAACACTTACTGACACTCACTCATCCCAGGGAGCGAGGGAGAGAGGGAGACAAAATACCTGCCGGGAGGAAAAAAAAAAAAAAAAAAAAAAAAAGGAGAGAGGGGGAAGTCCGGGCTTTGCAAACTATTCAATTTTTCTTCGCATCTTTCCCCACCCCCCGTCACAGTACTTTAAAAAAAAAAGAAAAAAACCAAAAACAAAAAACAAAAAAACAAAAACCAACAACCCTATAGCGATCCTAAAAGGCAAAACCCGACCACGGAGTTCCTGGAAGAAGAAACCGGGGTTAAAAAGATTCCTCCTCTCTTCTTCATCATCATCAACCATCATTCATTCACTACCTTGACATTCCCTGGCTTTGATTGACAGCTGGAGTGGCAAAAAGCCATGAGACACGACAGTTTGGTTACATGTGGGTTGCTGACGGGCCGATCGTAACCTTCAGTTTGGGGGCTTGACAATTTTTTTTTTTTTTTTTTTTTTTTTTTTTTTTTTTTTTTTTTTTTTTTTTTTTTTTTTTTTTTGCGTAGAGAAAGAAAAAAGGAAAAAGAGAGAGAGAAAAAGGAAAGAGAGAAAGAGACAGAAAAAAGAAGAAAACTCAGAAATTCATCGTGGTTCTTGACTGTTTTTTATATATTATTGTTGTTATTGTTGTTATTATTATTATTTACCCATATTGGAGAATAGGAGAAGTCTATAAGTGGGTTGCAAAAAAAAAAAAAAAAGGAATCTTCTTCACTCTAAATCACTTTCTTTGCTGGACTGGGATATTAAATATACGACACATCCAGGAGTTTATTGGAGCGCAGACTGATGGCGCAAAGGGTAGGTTTAAATCTCCAACACTTACCTATATATAAATCCTCTCTTAAGAGGGGCCTGTCCGATTTGCTCTCCTCTGTTGCTGCTGCTGATGGCGGCCACTATTAAAAAATAGCAGCAAAAATTATTCACTGGCTTTTTGTGTGTGTGCATGAGTGTCTCTCTGTGTGTGTCTCTGCAATTGTTCCACGCTTTTTTCCTTTCTAGCTTTTCCCCCAGCAGAGCGATTTCCCTGCTCTCTGCCTGCTCAGTAGCACGGGTTTCACAGGGGAAAGCTTGCTGCTGCTCCTGCTGCTGCCGCCGCTACTGCCACTGCCTAGCAAAGACTAAGAAATATATATGTGTGTCTGCGTATATACGAATGTATATATATGTATACACATATAGCTGCTTCTTTTTTTTTTTTTTTTTTTTTTTTTTTTTTTTTTTTTTTTTTTTTTTTTTTTTTTTTTTTTTTTTTTTTTTTTTTTTTTTTTTTTTTTTTTTTTTTCCTCTGGCTTTGACAAGGACAAGGGGAATTGCTACTAAATAATGTTTCTGGTAACTTTCAGATTATTTCCCCCTTTATCTCCCCCTCTTCTCCCCATGCACCCTACCTTTCCTCTCTCCTTCCTAGTGTTCATTAATTTACCTAGTTGCTTTTGATTCTGCTTGTTTATTAATTTGTTGTTGTTGTTGTTCTTCCTTTCTGATGCAGAGTAACTCTAGTTTTTCTCCTCCGTTTCCTTCCTTTTCATCCCCGTTTCCTTGTTAGGGTTTCTCCTGCCCGTGCTGAAGAGGACCATCTACCCCCACACACGCAGGCAGGCATACACACTTTCCCCCTTTACCTCTCTCCGCACCCCCACTCCTTCCTCAGCCTCTCCAGCCCCTGCTCTCGGTCCCAATTGATTTCATTTTGCACATTTCTCTCTCTGTTGTGGCTATTCTTGTTTTGTTTTGCTCTGTTTGTCTCTGTCCGGGTGCTTTACTCTCTTCTGACTTTTGTTGTTGTTGTTTGTTTGTTTTGTTTTTTGTTTGTTTTGTTTTGTTTTTTATTCCCCTCTCTTTCTTCTCCTCTTTCTTTTTCTTTCTCCTCTTCCGGCCCGTTTTTTGACAGTACGATGAGCTGCCCCACTACGGCGGGATGGACGGAGTAGGGGTGCCGGCGTCCATGTACGGGGACCCCCACGCCCCCCGGCCGATCCCCCCGGTGCACCACCTCAACCATGGGCCGCCGCTCCACGCCGGACAGCACTACGGGGCCCACGCCCCGCACCCCAATGTCATGCCGGCCAGCATGGGCTCCGCTGTCAACGACGCCCTGAAGCGGGACAAGGATGCGATCTACGGGTAGGTGCCGCCGGGCCGCCCGGCGCCAGGGCCCGGCTCCGCAGCGCTGGTGCCCGCGGAGCGGCCAGGGCAGGAGCGGCACGGGCGGGCGACAGGGGCTCCCGCGGGGCCGCGGCGACAGCGGCAGCCGAGCCCCGGAGTGGAGTGGGGCGGGAGGAGCCCGGAGGGTCCAACAGGAGGGCAGTGGCCGGCCTGCTGCCCGCTCTGGTGGGAGACCCGCGCGGTGGCACTGCCTTGGCTGGAGATCTCGGGACGAGGGCGATCCCAGCTTGACTCTTAGCTGAGGTGCCAGCACCCACGGGAAACGGGTGCTGGAAAAACAGACATCTTCTGGAGAGAGGCTGGGACTGGGGGAGGTGATGTTGCCTCGTCCTTCCATTTTTCTTTTTTTATTTACTCGGTTTTTTCCTCCCCCCCCCCCCCCCCTTTTTCTTAGCCGTGGGGAGTTTTTGTCTTTCTTGGAAAGACCACAGTTAGGAGTTAGAGACGGCTCTCACTGCTCTGAATTTTAGTTGGAGAAGTGTTGTTCTGGTGTTCTCCTCCATGCCATAATACCACTCTTCCAACTTTGTAAATAAAGAGCTATTCACAACGCAGAGGGTAGTAAGAATGAAAGGGATTCGCTTCTTGCAAACTGCTCTTCCCTGAGACGAAAGACATAAATACGTTGGGGGCTATAAAATGAATTTTCCTACTGAAAAAAAAATTACATGAGGAAAAAGACATACATACCCAGCAAAACTCAAGGCGCCAGGGCATTGCTTGGAGGGAATGACACCAATTCCCTTCAATATCTTTTGAAAAAAATATTAAAAGATCCTAAAAGGAGAGCTAGTAACATCTATGACAGAGTGTGGGGCCTTGATCAGACACTAAAGGGGAAAAGAAACAAATGCATGATTACTACTTAGCACGCAGATTTTTTTTTTTTTTCTGACTACACCAACTATGGGAAAATATTTCACGAAGTGCTCCCTCTCTCCGCCCCCTCCCCTGCTCACTTATCTGGACAGATGGTATTTTACTTGGGTGTGCTTCCTAAGCCAGGAAACTTCACCACGTTTTTGCTAGCAGGCCCCTTGAAAAATAAAATTACGTATTAAGGAGTTAGGAGTTTGCCTAGCTGTGCTCTCGTTTTAGGTCATAGCTGGAGGGTAGGGATGGGATCTTCCACGTTTTGCGGTATGTTAAGCTGTGGCAAAAATTGTAAGATTCCCAGCTGAGCTGCTGTTGAGCACATTCGGTACCTTGTGCATTTGGAGGAGCGGTCACTTTTGTCTTCATCGGTGAGGACTGAACGGGGGATGTGGTTCATGTATTGCAATTTCAAAAGGAAAACAAACAAACAAACAAACAAAACAAAAAAAAACCAAACAAACCAAAACCCAGCAATCCAACAAAACCCAATCCACCATAAACCCTATCATTTTTATTTCAAAATGTTGTTCTCCCCCACTCTGCCCGGAGCATTACTGCGAGGCTGTAGAGTGTGACTGTGTCCGTGTGTCCGCGTCTGTGTGTCCATGCATTAAAAAAAAAATACTTGTTGATTAGAGTTCTTCTTTCCCCCTCTCCCCCCACCTCCTCCTTCTCTTTGTGTGCCACTGCCCGGTAGGCACCCGTTGTTCCCCCTCTTAGCTCTGGTCTTTGAGAAGTGCGAGTTGGCGACCTGCACGCCCCGGGAGCCTGGAGTGGCCGGCGGGGACGTCTGCTCCTCCGACTCCTTCAACGAGGATATCGCCGTCTTCGCCAAACAGGTTCGGCACCTCTCCGCCCGCCCCCGACCCTCCCCAGCGCTCCCGCCGCCTCCTCAGCTCCTCGACCCACACGGCCGGGTGCTGGCAGGGGCAGCACCCCCTCCCCCCCGGCGCCCCCTCTCCAGCGGGGCGGGAGTGCGTGCTGGTGGCCCTGCTGGCCCTAACCCCCCCACTCCGGCGGTAGCCCCTCCACGCTGCCAGGCTGGAACTCCTGGCCCTCGCCCTCCTGCACTAGTGATAGGGAAAGATAGCTGTGGCCGAGTTTTGGAGGCAGAGGGAGCGGGAGGCAGGCAGGAGACCCAAAGGAGAGGGCTCCCATGTCACTGGAGGCCGGCTCGGCGCCGGGCCGGCAGCTTCTCTCCAAGCGCGGTGACCCAGGGCGTTCAGCCGGATTTTGGTAGCGGCCGGTTTTGTCACACGGGTTTTTCCCCCTTCGGGTGATCCGGTTACCGGTCTAAAAAGAGAAGCTGTAGTTCACTCACTTTTCCTTCTTCTTGCAGGTCCGCGCCGAAAAGCCACTTTTTTCTTCAAATCCAGAGCTGGACAATTTGGTAAGGCCTTCTCCCCCTTTCACCCCACTGCCCTCTAGTCCTTCCCGACCCCTCCGCTAGCTGCCGGCAAGCGCCCTCCGCCGCCCGGGGCCGAGGCCGATCGGTGCGGCGGGGCAGCGGCTGCCGGCCCAGGCACCCGGGCTGCGCGGGCAGGGGAGCGGGGCGCCAGCCGGCCGGAGAGTTGCCGTCAAGGGGTTTCAAAGAGTTGCACTCCTAAAAAGAGCCGGGACAAACTCTCGAGCCCCAATGCATTGCAAAGCTGCATCTGAAAGCCATGGGAAGCTAAAGTGAAGGAAATAACTTCTTAAGAAGAGAGAGATGGAGATTTCTAACGTGATTCTTCTGGTAATGTGAACGATTTCAATATTCAAAGTGCCTAAATCGGCTTGTAAAAAACGATGCCAAACTATTCACACACTCCCTATCCTTTCTCCTGCGGGCCTGGGGGATGGGGGTGGGGGGAGGAGGAAAGTGTGTGACAGACTTCTCTGCGGACCCTCAGGGATGAGGATCGGGGTGCTGAGAAGGGAGCAAGGAGGAGAGGAAAAGGTTTTCTCCAAGATCGCGGTAATAAAGCTCTAATCACCGCTCCTGGAATAAATACGATAAAAATCAAGTGCTTAGGTTAAAGTTGATCAAAATTGTTGAAGCGTGACCAATGAGCTAAAATCCTGGATAATGACTGAGCGCCCTGACAATCCCCTTCTCCTCCTTGCCCACTTGGGCTCGCAGCTCTGCACAGCCCCCGCTACTCCTGCCTCACACGTAACTTCTTGCTCAAAACTTTCTTGCAGATGATCCAAGCAATACAAGTACTAAGGTTTCATCTTTTGGAATTAGAAAAGGTAAGAGCCATGGAGATGGACCCGGGGCATGCTATTCCCTCCCTGTCCTCACCTCCTCCTCCCCCCCCCCCCCCCCCCCCCCCCCCCCCCCCCCCCCCCCCCCCCCCCCCCCCCCCCCCCCCCCCCCCCCCCCCCCCCCCCCCCGACTGGGCTGACTTGTAAACATGGCCAGAGAAGAGAGGGGAAACGCAGTGTGACACTATAACCTGTGCCATCAGAACATGTGACACCCGACAGGCATGCCCGGCCCAGACCGCTTTTTTTTTTTTTTTTTAATGTGTGTGTGTCTAATTTCAATATTTAACATGTTAAACCCCTTCCATCCTTTTCACCCCTTCCTTCAGTAGGCATTCTTTTACTCACTCGGAAATAATATGTTTAATAAAAAGATTTGAAATCACTCTCTCCCCTCTTCAGCTCTGGCAGGCAGATTAACCCCAAGCAAGCACTAAATGTTTGGAAGAGGCAGGGGCCCCTGCACGGCGTGGGCAGGGGGCTGTGTCCTGGGATTAGAACAGTTCTAACCGCTACCTCACCGAGTAGCTTCGTTTTACTGCTCCCAGCCATTTAGACCTTTGTTTTTAGCCCCAGTTTAAACTCATCCCATCCCAAGTGACTAATTGTACCTGTCCAGCTCGTGTATGCTCCAGAGATACCACCTGGGTCCAGCTTCCAGTGTCCTGCTGTTATCATCAAATCTGATTTTCTTCTGCACACCAGTCCAAACCCACTATCTCTCTCTCTAACTTGTTGCTGCGACCAGTCTCTAGAGAATAATATGTGCTGCAACAATTTCTCTATTGTTTCCTTGCCTTCAACTATTGTCCCCCTTAATTAGAGTTACTTGTGGAGTAGAACAGAGGGTTGTCCTTGCTACCGAAAAAAAAAAAAAAAAATTGCAATATGATATTTTGCCATTATTCTTTTTAGGTTCATGAATTGTGTGATAACTTCTGCCATCGGTACATTAGTTGTTTGAAAGGAAAAATGCCAATAGACCTCGTTATTGATGAAAGGGATGGCAGCTCCAAATCAGACCATGAAGAACTCTCAGGATCTTCCACAAATTTAGCTGATCATGTAAGTCCTTCTGTTTTCTTTATGGCATTTTTTAAGACTTAAACCTGCTTAGATGACCTGTCCCCAGTTTCCTTCCTTTGCTGCTGTTGTTTATTAGTATTATTACTACTTTAACCTCTTGCAAGCTTGGATCCCATCTTCACACTTTCATCCCTCTCGCTTTGTAAAGTTATAGAAATTCAAAAGGTTCCCTCAGTTTCCATCTGTAAAGCATCGAGTTTGCAAGGGTTTGTAAAGTTTCCTGGTCTGGGCGGCTTGGAGAGTTAGCAAATTGTCTGTTTGATGTGAGGATTCGTGCTTTCTCCTCTTCTTTGCCAACTTTGGAATCAATGCATCAATGTAAGGAAATTGAGACAAGAAAGTTAGGGAGAAAGTTTGCTGATTTGCTCCCCCCTCCCCTCTTGTGGGGATGACAAGTGATGAGAATTATTGGCAATACCACACTGCATTAAAAAAAAAAAAAAGGGGTTAGCACATTAGAGTTTCCAATGCTTTTGCTTTAGAGCAACTTATTGTCAGAATATGGACTTATTGCCAAATGCCTGAAGCATCTTCATAATAAAAGACAGTAACCTTGATGAAGCAATTATTAACAATGTATTACAGAAAGCTGGAGAGAATGATGATTGAGAAACCATAGGTTAGTGGTTGATTTTAACACTTTAGGAGTTGGTGGATTAGTGTAATGTGTGTAGGACTAAATGTTGGGGTGTGTGGTGAGGAGAGTTCCTTTGTTTTTCTGAGTTTTGGAGCGGCTCTCGTGATCCTTCAAAAGATGTAGATGCAGAGAGGTTTCAGGATGTGAACGGAAAGATTGCAGCTGGTACTGCAGAAAAGGGAAGGAATAGCTCTGGTTAAAAAGAGTGGGTGTGAACTCCAGTTTATTTATAGGAATGCATCCCTGGGGGGTAAAGGGGTTTACACAGTTTTAGATTCAATTGAACTCATAATCTAAATGATACAGTCTAATATTTTAGTGGTTGAAATATTAATTTAACACCCAGTGTGAAGTTAACCATGCTTTCTGCACAGACGCCTGCCTTTATTTCCCAGTGTGTTAAGAGGAGTAGCTGCAAGCCCAGGGAGAATGAGCTTTCTAGGAGCTTTTGTTTCCTTTGAAGACATGTTGTTTGTGTGTGTATCTGATAATTACATTAGACCTGGACTGAAGCTGAATTGGGAGATAGAATAATAATAAATTCTTCTAATGTCCCCCTTCTGGCACAGCTTAGTTATGGGAAATATTTTTGGACCCAAGCCTTAGCTTTCATTTTCTCATTTGTATTCAGTAAACATTGCAGGACAAGGTTTGTGCAATGTTTTACGTTTCGAATCTATTATTTTGAGAGTAAAAAGGTATGCAGAATGTCCTGAAAGTTTCTCTGCTTATCAGCTCTCTCACACGTAGATAATAAATTCCATGAGTCATGACACAATTTCAAAAATATTTGTATCATGGCATTTTACAACCCTAAATTAGTGGGCATAAGTATTCTGGGAGAGTACTAGAAAAGAAATTGAAGTGAGTGGCAAGCTGAAAGATAGTGATTCATTGTGTAAAATTTAAAGAAACAGAAAAAACCCAATATGTTTCTCCAGTACAGTTTCTTTACAAGCCTATGTTTCAAGTGGAAGTGTAGAAATGGAGCATGCTTATGTTTATATTGAAGAGATTAGATAAACTAGCTTGTTTAGGGTTCTGGCAGATGGCAAATGCTCAAGCCAATTTGCAGTGCTCCATTATAATATTTAAATTCACACACAATGATAGGACAGAGGTGGAAGGGGGTTAGCATTTTGATAATTTGGTAACTATTATCGTCCCTAAGAAGAATCTGTGGCCCCAAAAACAAACTAAAATAAATATGACAACCCATTTATCTTGCACCCGTTAGGGTTTACCACTTCATTGGGTATTATAATTTAAAGCCTTTTATTTCCTGGAGATTTGAGCTATAACATTTTTACTTTAGCCCCCTGCTATTTGTTTTGAAAGGAAGCAATAATTTGTGCAACCAGAACACCAACTGGGAAATGAAGAGCTGTATCACATAGTTACATTTTATTCATGCGTTTTGGGAAATGTGTCTCCTTATTGGATTTTTTTTTTTTTATATTAGCTTGTTTTCCTGACAAAACTTTAACAGTTTTTTATAGCTTAGTCAAACTACCATGTTTTGTATTTGCACTGTACAAGGTTCCAGCACGAAGAAATCCACCTTTATTCATAGAGAAGGAAAAACTTTTAAAAAATGGCTAATATAATCATGTAAGTCTATTAAAAAATGAGCTATCATTTCTGAGCATCTACCTGAAAATGTAACAGTTCAAGCATGCAAATTTGTCCAATTTGACTCTCCACATTTATTTTTTTTCATTTGCCTTGATATGCATATTTAATATATAGCCTCAGGCTAGATCTCATTTGGTGAAAGTTGGTGCAGGGGAGATGATGAGCCACTTCAGAAGGACAGAGACAGCGTGTTGTTTCCTCTGTTTTATGTATTGGCCTGCTATTCTGATCCATGAGTCTTCCCCTCATGATTTTATTTGCACATGAAATACTAGGAGCATTTCAACTGATTGGCTATGAATAATGATAGCCCAAAAGAAGTGTAGGTTAATTTGTTGTGTGCCAAGGTTTCTCTTGAGGAGGTGACAGTTTGTGACAGCTGTTTGACACCCCAAAAATCCATACCCCTCTATTCTTATTAAGTAGTGTAAAGCTACCCTCTGTGTGTTTAACATGAATGTGAGGGGTAGTAGTGGTGACAGTGGCAGTGCTGAACTAGGAACTAAGACAGCTCTCAGCTTTATTGCTTTGCTAGACCTGAAAACCTGAAAAAGGGAAAGTAACAGAAACAATTGCAGGATTAACCGATATTTATTACCATATTACCTTATTACCATAAGACTTTAAACGAGGTACTCACATTGTGCATGCTTCCCCTTTCAAAATTTACTGCTTTACTATTTATATCACCTAATTGGAAACCAAAACCAAAATCAACATAAGAATGAATTCTTCAGAGATACACCTGTGCTGAAAAAGGAGTCAGCTGTAAGCGGTTTTGCTGTACATGTTTGGTAATAAGTGTGTTTATTGAATTTTATTTTAGTGTGCTATTAACCGTTATGTAATATAGTTAGTGCAAAGGGTCCAGGGACTTGGTAGATCAAACAGAGCAGTGCTGGCCACATGAAGATGAAACTTCTGTTATTACTCTGCTGTGTTTAGTAAATATAACAGCCCACAATTAGCGTTTGAATTTTTAACACCCTCAGGTTTTTTTATTGCTCTGAGGTATTAGCTGTAGATGGGAAGAAGGTAATTACAGCTATGCCCTGGCTGAACCAGATCAGTTAGGGGAGAAAAAAAAAGATAAGAAAAAAGGAAAGAAACCTTTGCAGCTGCAGTTCAAGTTGAGTTTCCCAGCACAGACAATTTATTATTGTTCAACATAAACATTCTGAGCCCTATCTTGCGTTCTGTGTTCAGCCTAAAATATCTGTTCAGATTGCTTAAAGATCCCTTTTTCTCTTTCAAGTTATTAAAATCTGAAAAACATAATGCTTGTAAAATCTGGAGATTTTTAATCTTTTTTGACCATATGACAACATTGTATACTTTAATTACATTTCTTTTGTACCTTGCCTCACCTGATGCCACAATTCTTCCTTTAGCACAAAACTATTTGCTATTCTCGCATAGAAATTTATGGCTCCCCTTCCACTGGCTTTTGTGGGAACTGGATCAGGGCCTCAGTCTTTTTAATATTTGTTTATGTGTTCTAGTCAATTTGCAACTCAGAGGTAGTAATATACAGATCATAATTTATAAAAATTAATTAAAAATTGATAGAAACATACATACATCTCTTTTTATAAAAAAAGACTGTTGACAGATTAGAAATCCAATGTCTTAGTTACAGAAGAGAAATATTAGTCTGAATATCAAACCTTTCAGCTCTCGAATGAAGAGATACTTCTATTCTGTACTTTTGGACATCCAGACAATTTACATTTCTTTATATTTCTTCTCAAAGAGTGCTCTGTGCAAACTCCTGACATCTTGTAGATAAGAAAAATAAAAATAGCGCAATACATATCTGTTCCAGTTATATAATCAAACCTTTAGGTAAGATTTCACTGAGTAACGAAGAAGTAATTGGGAGCCTGATGCTACAGTCTCCAGGTATGCCACACTTTTATGGACTTCAGTGGGAGTTTTGAGAAATGGAGGGTCAGACCCCAGAGGTGCTCTTTCTGTCACGTGCCAGAAAGAAAACTAAATAGCCAACTGCAACAATAATAAGGCAAACTTCTTGAGATGTGGCTTAAGACTTAGGACATTGTGGTAGGCCCTGTGCTTTCTGAAGGGGCAAGGAGCATCAGGAGCTTTCTGAGACTGTAGATATTGTGCATTTCCTCTTTTCGAAGGGCCAAGGTATGCTTCAGTCAACAGCTGAAATCTCAAATTTAAGTCTGCAGCTCAAATTTTAGTATTATAATTTTAAACTGTGTTCTCACAAGCTGAACCAATAATGTATTGCACTATTTGATGATAGTCTTCTCTCTTTGGTTTGAGTTGTCTATCTGTCTAGATGAAGAGTAGAATGACATAGAAGTACAATTGAAAAAAACCCAAGAAACTTACGATTTTATAAGTCTCAGTTCCTTACTAGCAGGTGGATTACATGTATCATTTTGGTCTTAACTATAAAACACAAAGCATGCACCTTTTCAGAATGCTGCTACATTCTAGAATAGTCAAAAATTCCTCCTGACACTTTCCTCAATGCAAAGCCAAGGGGCAAGAATTGAAACTTTTACATATATACACAAATATCCGATAGATTGCAATTGCAATGCCTTGTATTTTGTTTAAATTGTGTAATTCTGGTCCAGAAAAAGCAATCATATTAAGTATACATATATACATACACCTTAGTAATACCAGGAGTAGTCTTTTTTAGAAAACATACATATTGTGTCAAATT